TTTTAATTTGCGGAATATGAAAACTCATAAATAGCTTGTAATTTTTCGCTATTGGTTTTTTATTTGTGCAAGGTGGGGGGGGGGCCAGCTCGACAGGGGTTGTTCTTAGGAAAACTGTGGTGGGTGCTAGAAGGGCACTCTCTAGATCAAAGAGAAAAGTGAATGGGAATAGTTCCATTAAATATAGGGAATATCAAATCTCTCTCTGGAACTATAGAGTTGGTATTAAAAAGGCTAAATCTAGAGCGTGGGACGAGTTACTTAGGGATTTGATTGAAGACCCTTGTGGCCTTCCTTACAAACTTATTTTTAAAAAACTTAGACCTGCTGCACACTCGGTCTGCGAGACACTTCCACCCAGTGGTGTTGTGGAGATTGTTCATGCTCTTTTTCCAGAGAAGGAGGACAATAATGTTATTTGTAATGAATACCTACCTTTATGGTCTGACGACTTGAAGGTTAGAGAGGAGGAGCTCACAGAGGCTCTTAAAAAGACTCGCGGATGCAAAAAGACGCCGGGCCTAGACGGGGTTCTGGGGGGGCATTCTTTCGGGTTGCGCGGGAAGCGTAAAACCCCCTTCATGAAGATCTGGCTCTCTTGTTTTAACACATGTTTAAGGGAGGGGAAATTCCCTCGGGTCTGGAAAAAAGTTCGATTGGTTCTTCCAAGGAAAAAAGATGGTCCAAAATTGGATCCCGGAACCATTTAACTTATAGACCAATTTGTCTCTTGGACGAATCATCTAAGCTATTTGAAAGGATTATTGTTAATAGAAGACATGAACATCTGGAATTAACCGGTTTTTTATCAAATAATCAATTTGGTTTCAGGAGGGGGAAATCGACTCTTGATGCGATCCTTAGACTTCGGGAAATAGTTACAGATGAGTTGGACATGGGGAAATTGGTTATCGGGGCTAGTTTCGATATAAAGAATGCTTTTAATTCTTTGCCTATGGGGAATTATTAAAGATGCCATGATCTCCATGGAGTTTCCTGGATATCTGAGGGGAATAGTGTCTAGCTATTTGTCGGACAGGAGTCTCACATATATTAACACTGATGGTGAAGTCCGAGTTTCAAAAATGTCTTGTGGTGTTCCGCAGAGTTCGGTCCTTGGGCCGACCCTGTGGAATATAGGTTATAATAAAGTATTGAATTTGTCCCTTCCAGAGGATTGCTGGGTGCTTGGATACGCGGACGACATTCTGTTGGTATCTGGAGAAGACTATGACGTGGTTAGGGAGAAAACTATGTTCTCTGCTAATCTAATAATTAGGGCTATTGAGGGAATGGGCCTGGAGATCTCGCCTCATAAAACGGAGGTTATGGTTTTCTCAACCTCTGTGATTGGGCGTGGTCTTCCCAAGAGTATCTTTATAAAAGATAGAGATATTAAAATTTCTAATAATTTGAAATACTTGGGAATTTTTCTTGATGGAAATTAGAATTTTACTCATCATTTCAGGCAAGTTTCAGTGAAAGTAGATAAAGTGGTTAAAACTTTTGGGAGAATTATGCCCAATTGTAGGGGTCCTAGCGAAAGGAAAAGGAAATTATATCTTAATATGGTTCTTTCTGTCATACTGTATGGAGTACCTGTATGGTATGAATCTTTCAACCAGAACCGGACTGCTAGGTCGTTAATGGAAGAGGTTTTGCGGAAGATCACACAAAGGGTGTGTTGCGCTTATCGAACAGTGTCCTACACTGCCGCTTTGGTATTGTCGGGCACTCCACCGATCGAATATTTTGCTAGAGATTGGCGGTTGTGTTTAAACAACTTAGGATAGCTAAATCTATGGGGGAAGAAATTTCCCTTAGATCTAGGGAATTAATGCGTATGAATGCTAAGCTTGATGCAAACCGGGCTTGGAAATGTGATCTGGAAGCAATGGGTGACAACCAACCGGGACTTAGGGTTCGGTCTGCCCAATGTTGATAGAATGGACAAATAAAAATTACGGATGGATTACGTTTTACATGGCGCAGATATTTACGGACCACGGTTGCTTGAATAGTTTTTTGTATAAAATAAACAGAGCGAATTCACCCCTGTGCTCCCATTGTTTGCAGGACATTGATAGCGTGCAACATACACTAGAGTTTTGCGAAGCCTGGAATGCGGAGAGAGAGGCATTAATCAATGTAATTGGTAATAGATTAGACTTATCTTCCATTGTAAGGTCCATCCTGGAAGATGTTGAGCACTGGAAGGCTTTTGCTAGATTTTGCGGGGCGATTTTGTCCAAGAAAGAAATAGCTGAACGCGAACGACAAGCACTGGAACGGAGACAGGTGATTGGTTTCCTCGATCCTGAGGCTTCAGATTGATAATTTAGTAGGTACCATTTTCGGTTTTCTGTCTGGATATTTTGGTTAGATTTATTATATGATTAGGACATTTCCTAGGTTAGTTTCTTTTCTTTTAGTATGTAAACTTTATAGATGTCCCGATAGAATCTTTGTAGGGGCCTTTTGGCATGGTCAGGGGGTAGGTGGAGTAATGCTCTCGTAAGTAATCCCACTTCCCTCCTTATTTTGGCTCAAGAGGGGCAAGAGGTGAGTTT